AACGCAGGGGGTTTCCTACGCCTGCCGTACGTTCCTCCCGTCGGCCGTCTGCGTGGGAAGGCAACAGCTTCAGAGGCCGCTCGCTTCGAAACGGGAAACATTATTCATGCTTTGAATCTGCGCCGAGCGACTTGGACTGCGTCCGTCCATCACCCATTTTTTGTACCTCCCCTGCACCCTTGCCATCTTCGTGAGCGTCCCTTTTCACCTCCTAACTCCTGCACGGCTCTACTTGATCTTCAGAGAAAGGAGAAGCCCTAGAACAGACAAGATTTATAATCCCAGTGAGGAGAGGTCTCGGATGCAGGACAGTCCTGGCAGGCTGGGGTAACACATCTCGCGCAGGCAGGAATGGGACAGCACGTGCAGGAGTCCTGCTGGCCCCAGAGGGAAAACATCTGCAAGCTGTTAACACGCACAGCACGACACAGAGTGCTTGCTCAATGCTAGCCTCTCCCCCCATCCTCTTCCCATCACTGCTAGCTGCTTTCCAGTTGCCCAGGCTCTGCCTCCTCTTTAACCTCAACTCCAGCTGCAGCTGATGCGTCCCCAGACCGTCCTGCTGGCCGCGTGGGCTCCCACGGTGCCGTCCTCGCTTCGGGGTGCTCCTCGCAGCTGGTGCTCTCTCCGGTCTCTACCACGCTCCTTCCCTCGCCTCGTTCCCTTCTCCCCCAGCACACACGCTCACATTCAGCCTTGCACGACTAGACCCCGGGGCTCTGCACTGCATTTTCTCCCCCTTGTCTGGCTGGCCAGCAGGATTTCAATATCTGGGTGGCCAGATCGTTCCTCCAGTCTGGTCTCCAAGCGTGTCCCTGCTTCCTGGCATTCACTTCACCCAACTCTGGCTCCTCAATTCAGGCGGCACAGCAAAGACCTACTAATCTCTACACTCAACAGAGAGAGACAGGCCCCCGCAAAGGCAGTCTGGGTCTTCAGTCTGCTTCTGGTGGTGCCTGTTTCTCACCTATGTCTAGAAAAGAAACCAGAAAAGTCATCACACTAACACAAGCGACCAGCAGTTAAGTCCTTAAAGTTAGGCTGACTGAATCCAGGCCCCAAAGACATCCGCAGTCCACGCTGCCTAGTCGTCACCACTTCTTCACCCGACTTACAAGCCCACTTCTTTTGCAGATCCCAACGGAAAAAGGAGTTTGCAGCTGGAGGTCAAACACGAAAAGGCCAAAGCAATCCATGCCCAGATGTGCTGGCGGGTCCTCCCCGCTCTCCTGACGATTTTTTCTTCCGGGGAGGGAAGGACGCGTACATCCTGTACAGCTTCACAGGCGGTGCCAGTCATCACAGACACACACACAGGCGGACTGAAATACCAGTGTGTACTAGCATAAACGGTCTCTTGGCTTGTCCCTGCGATGACTCAACAGAAAGCAAGCCAAAAGTTACGCAGAGGCAGAGCAAAAGGCCCCTGTTTATACACTGCTTGGGGATTTGCAAGGCTAGAAGTATTTCTGGGTGAAAAGAGTGCAGATGAAGCTCTCCAGGGGAGACAGGCGATAGCTGTCTTTATGTGCACAGGAGGAAACAGAAACATGAATATTTCCACAAAGGCAATGCAGTAAAAAGAAAATAGATACACAGAATATATGTGGCAAATGCAGCAGACATTGAAACTCATTCTTATTTCAAAATCTGCAGGTTCAAACTGCACAAGCTTTATTTTCTGTCATTTAGTGCTTCGGTGCTTGCTCTGCATGAAAAGAGGCACATTTGGGGGCTGCAAACAGCCTTGAAACAGTGTCTGGAGTCACCTCGCAAGAGCTGTGACTCACCTTCACGACGGCAGCAAAGCACCACAGCTCCCCCGCCTCACCCACCCGTGCACCCTGACCAGTCGTCACGGTCCCTCTGCCAGCATTTACGGATCCCGCAGCTGAGCCAGCAGAGAGGAAACCGGACCCGCGTCCGCACGGCTCCAGCTCGCGGCCAGGTGTCCCAAGTGAAGTTATGCAACCCGGCTGAGTTTGCGACCGCTCGCTGCTGCGAAGGGAGCAAGGTCCCTTCCCCATCCCTCCTCCTCACCCTGCCCACGCCAGCAGTGACCTTTCTCAGAGACCATTTCACTTGTTATCTCAGCAGAACACCGTTCACTTATTTTTTTGGGCAGGCAATTTTCCTGCTGGTTTAGCAAGTCATGTCAGCTCAGCGCAGGGCCCAGTGAGCACAGTGTCGTCTCGCCCCCCCGAGCACGGCTCCCCTGCACCTGCAAGGATGTAAGCCAGGCCGTGCAGACACATGAGCCAGCTCAGCGAGTGAAAGCTGCTGAAAACCGAATGAGAGGGGGAAAAGAGATTATTTTGCACCCACATCAACTGCCTGTAAAGGGGCGAGGGCCTGCAGTGAAGGGGTGAGACCTAGGGACCCTGGTTTAGATCAGCTTAAAAGGCAGCGGAGCCAGAGAGCTGGTACCAATCTCCCTTCCAGGGCTCTCGCGAGGGTCCTCAGCACCTGCAGCTGAACAACCTCCTTGAACTCCCTTGGCGCGAAAGCTGTAAGTGAAGCCAAGCGGAGAAACTGGCTCTTGAGGAGGACTGCGTCTGCGAGGACCCCCGGTGAGGATTCTGCACTCAAAATACAGCATTTAAAGCCAGCAAAGGGAACCTCCCTACCTCTCAGACACACCGACCGGGATGAGGTGAACAGAAACAAGGCCAGGAGGCAGACGGGCTCCTCGGGGTCGAACGCTGTGAAAGAAAGTTGTCGTTTAGATGGAGAGTGCCCATCCTCCATTTCTAAACCAGAGCAAGAGATGTCATCCCACGTATTGGTTTCTACGTAGCCATGTCTTACCATCGTCTCGTGTCAAGGCAGCGGACGTGAGGAGGATAAGAACTCCTTGATCGCGTAAATATTTGATGATTGCCTAGAACAAACACACGCAAAGTTAGAACAATTTCTCCCTTCCCTCTTAGGCAAACTTAATATCGCTTGGCATGACTTTCAACACACACTGATTGTTGGTGAACACACGCCGACACCACCAGCTTGTTCCTTGCTGGGGAGGTCAGTGGGCAGTTTACTGGACTCTATTCAGGCTATGCCAGTTGGCTCAGCTGGGACCAGCAACCCAAAGATGGGGTATTCCATTTATGTTGCTATTCAGCTCCCAAATTCCTCTCACCTGTTTCTTAAATATACATATACTTAGCCAAACTGGTTACAATTAATGAACAAGGCTAAAAATTTTAGTCCCTTCAGTTCAAAAGCTCCCGGACCCCTCAGCCAGGAATAGCTCTCATCACCGCAAGGGGAGAGTTTTTCCTGTGGGATAAGCAAAGCTGGACACCAGCACCTGACAAAACACAACCAACGGTGCCAGCTACAAGCCCAGCTGAAGTTCAATCTATGCAGCTTTATTAGCAGCAACAGTATCAATAAATATGTGAAAAAAACATTTGCTGAGTCTATAAAGTTCCCATGGCTCCACCTGAAAGCTGCACGGTTGCATGCCTAAAAAGACAAGCGCACTTATTCCGGCTTTTCTTGTGTTTGGGTGTTTTCCGATGCCTCATCTCACAGCTCGGGGTGGGCTGCCTTTCCTTGCAGGGCAACACTCATCTGGGTCTCCTTCCTCCGTGCAGACATCTCTTTTCAGGAAACTTGCAGGAACTGAATAATTTTAAGGCTTCTAATGCTCTGAGAAACTTGGCTGATTCCATCTGATACATTCAGACATCAGAGAGGACTGGACTGATCCCCACAGCCACAGGTAGACCAAGCCTTGTTTTCCACTGACAGCAGCACAGCAACTTTGGAAATATTGAACAATTTGAGCGTCATATTCACTATTCAGGATAGCAGCTCCCTGATCCAGTTGTCTCAAGCCAGCACAGCAGAAGGGATAAAAGCCAAAATTTCCCCTGCGTAAATCCAGCTCAGTAAAATAGCTGTGGTTCCTCACCAATAGGACAACTTTCAGGAAGGTAAGGAGGAAAGTCAAACCCACAGCCACCCAAATCCACAAACACACAGTGGAAGGAAGTCACCCGGCACCCAGATGGGTGCGGCTGGCCGTAGGCAACCCGACCTATCCCCAGGTACCCTTTCACTTTCACTCCCCTGTGTCTGGCACTACTCAAAGTGAAAGGATATTCCTTCCAAGGCATTTCACTTGCACTTCTGGGAGCTGCCATGAAAGCACATTCACCCATTGGCCGTTCAAGAGCATTGCAAGGGGAGGGAAGAAGCACACCCAAAATGGGCTGGTGACTGCTTCCTCATTGAAACACGGGAGATGTTTTAATTCAGTTCGATGTGCGTTATCAGGGCTGGGAAACTCTAGAGAAACGATGCTCCCATCGGCTTTCAAAAGCAAACTGCTCGTGGCCATGGCTCAACCATCTCATCTTCCACGGCTTCTCTAGGGAGTCTGGATCTCCGACGCTTGGCGGGATGCAGGATCTAACCCTCGGCAGCTGCAGATGCACACCGGTGGGCTGCGCAGCAACAGTGCTTCCAGGCAGTTCGTGGATCGCTGCCAGTTTATACGGAGGGGAGGAAGCGCCCAGCCAGCCACGTGCTTGCAGCCGTGAATTTACAGTTCTGGATTTACAGGAAGCATCAGATGTGACACAGCGACCAGCGGCAGCAAAGTCAAATCCAACCCAACCACAAACCTCAGCACAGACGCAGGTGCTGCACTGCTCTGGGCGGGAGGTTTGTCCCTTGGAGTCACCAGGAGCCGTGACGGATCGGGTAGGGGAGAAAAAGTAGGGAACAGAAAGACGCCAGTGTGCTGGAAAAAGCCTCATCAGATAATATAGTACAGGCAGTCCTTGGCGATGAGAGGGGAAATTCCCCTTCAGAGCAAGGATAAATCTCAACATTTCCCTGAAGTCCCCTGAAGCATGTGAGGTTTTGGCAGCGCAGATGTGAGTATCTAGCGGAGTGGGTGCTACTTTTCAGCCACCAGGGAGAAAGGCAGGTGTGTGACAGCTTGTACTTTTTGCTCAGTAATTATCATTCTAGCATTGTGGGGCTCAGCTTCTGCTTTCTTGATAAATAAAATTCCATTGCAGTCCTTGTAAACTGTGCTGTTTGCAATGCAATGGGAAATACCATTAATAAAGACATCTCAATATAACAATCTCCTCTGGCCTAAACATAGCCACAGAAGAGGCTTGCCTGGTATAAAGCCTTCTGCTCAGTGTGCCATTTTTCTCACCCTAGATCAGTTCACAGCTCACAGTGGGTGATCTTCAGCTAACAGTTTATATACAGGAAAAACTAAGCTATGCTTGAGAATAACAAAGCATAAAAATAAGAGTTAAAGTAGGGAAATTTGTTACAGTTGGTGGTACTTTGGAACCTGTGAATAATGTTCCCAAAAGTTTCAACATACCATTTAAAAATAATTTAAAAGACGACTTTCCTCCCAGAATGACAATCTTTAAAATTCTTACCAAGTCTTTTTCCTTTAGGTTTTGTAACAATTCATTCATTTTATCTTGATCCTTATTTGATATTTCCACCTCATACAGACTGAAGTAAATGCCTTGAAAACACACTGCAGACAAAACAGAGAGAATCTGGTGTTGAAAGAGTGACTCTTAAATGAATTCTGAATGAACAAGTGCTGTCATAACAGGAAGATGGGTGTACAAGGGGTGGGAAAACTGGGTTTTAAAACAATGGCTATCGACATTTCCTAAGCTGGTACATGAATTCATAGCACAGTGAGTTTTCTCTTCAGCCCACGGTTCATGGAAGATGATTCCTACCTCATCGTTGCAGCTAACAAAAGCAATTTAGCCGAAGTTGCTGTGTGCTTCAACAGAGACAAGAAGCCTTTCAGATCGAAGTATCTCATTTTCACATGCCATACTCCCCCCCGCTACGGAGCATCCCTATTCCACACTCTGATCCCCAAGAGAATTTGACAAATGCAAGACCTTGGACTCAGGACCTTACCCCCTCCTGAATCCCACAGCGAAATCCCTCTGTTCAAGTTGAGCATTTCCTCTCTCTCATCAGCCGGCCACGAGACTGTGGCTCCGTGGCCTCTTCATGAAGTGCTGCCACGGCCTCCCCCACTTCCCCAGCCTCCTACCTAATTGCCCTGGCATATGTTGATCTGCAGTGTAACCTGAATGCTAATCCCCAAAACAGACTTGCTGTCCGCTGGCTGGATCAGCACCCTGACCTGGCTCAGCAAAGCTGGCAGGCAGCAGCCCACATTTTTTCTGGTGCAAGATGCCACGGAAAAGCACCTTGAAGGTTCTGCAGATTGCACCCGGGGCTCTCCACGCACAACTTGTGACACCAACATGAATGTGCCTGCTGGAGCATACAGCCACTGACAGCCGTCGGGAGCTCATCACCTTGGGGCTGAGAGCTGCCACGCTCATCAAACCCCTCCCGAAGCAATCAGCAGTACCAATCCCAAGGTGTAACTAGAGCCAGGAACAGGCACCCTCCTCCCCACCTGGCACCAGCCAGGTGACTATAGGCACACAGGGCCTTGTAGCAATGCTAAGGGGACAGCAGAGCTGTTCTCTCTCTTCCCCAAATAAGTGCTTTTATTTCTACTGACTGCAGAGCAATCCCTGCCTCTCCCCAAGCTCTCCGCACTCCTCTCGCTCTCATGCTCTTGTCCACGGTCACTGTCAGCCTCTTGAAGTGACAAGCAGGTTACCAGTGACTACTTGCAGAGCTATTGGGGTGATTTTATTGCCTGCATTTTTGGCTTTGGCTGGTGGCTATCCCCCATCAGCCCGGAGGCAGGAGACGCTGGTTCTGACCCCAAGAGGTGGGGCATCTCTCTCTTGTCAGGAAGATCTTGCGACAAGGGGGAAATCCATCTCTCTGCGTTTACTCTCAGCTCCACCACGCTTCGCACGCTGCAGCATAGGAGCCCAGGTCTCAACATATAGCATCTTCCACCCTGTCCCATCACGAGAACAGGTCGGCCAAAGAGATGCTTTGGGAAGACGACTGTGCCACACCAGGAGACCATATTGAGCGTGGACCAGAGAACATCCCTATGCTGCTTTGAGCTCTTTCTTGCATATCTGCAATCAGCCACCACCCAAGACAGGACGTGCGGCTACGTGGGCCTGCGCTCTGACCCAGTGCTGCAATTCCTATGGTACAGCAGCACCAGATAGCTGTTACTCATCGTGCCGGTGGATTTTACGCTCACCTTCATTCTCGACATAATTGCTTTTCCCAAATGCAGCTTCTGGTAGCTTTTTCTTCAAGTCGGATAAACCCATGACGTGGTTAATGTCCAGGTTGGGAGGTCTATGGGGAGAGAGCAACAGAGGATGAGACTGGACACGTAAAAGGCTCTCAGGGTTAAGGACAGCAAAGACCCCGGGTTATTCTGTCACAGTGAAACCAGAGAATACCGCTCTGGAGAAGGCCAGAGAAGTGGCTTGCTTAGCACTTTGCTGATTTGAGGATCCTATTTGGAAACACCTCCAAACCCTGGTATTGGTGTCACCACTACTGGCTGTCATTGGCTGCCTCGAATTGCTCCTCAAAGGTTGGTTTCTGACGACTGAAGATTTTAAATATCTCATTTTTTTGAACAGTAGTTACTTCAGTACTTTATTTGCCATTGTGTTGCTCTGTAAACACAACCAGCTGACCCTATCTGCATCACCACCAAGCCCACTGCTCCAAAGGAGAAAAAGCCCAAGCAGGAATAATTGATTTGGAATAAATATCCCCAGTTAATATAGCAAAGTGCTGGCAAAACACACCCATTCCTTGCTGCAGCTCAGGGCCTGACCTGGTACAACTGCAAGCAAAGGATGGGGCAGGAGAGACAAAGCTGGCTCTCGCTGGTACACAGGTACCCAGATGCTGGCAGCAGACCTGCTTGCTAAGGGCCCAAAAGCGACCCCAAAATGCTCACCACCAGCCGCTTTAACGCTTTACTCCCGCCTTCAATTGCACACAAAGAGGAGAAAGAGGCTACGTACAACTGGGCTGGAATTGTGGAGCCGTACGGAGTCCGCAGCGCGATATTGCACAAGAGCTGGCCCCGGATGGAGAGCTGCCCCCTCCATGGGCAAAAAAAAAAGAAAGGTACATTTGTAAAACGAAACCAACCACCAGACGGTCTTACCTTTGTGATTAAGTTCAGGTCTAAAGAAAAGGGAGAAAAAGAGGGATATTTAGCAGTGGGAAAGGGAAACCAGCCCACAAAAGTGACTGGGTATTTCAGAACAACCGTAAGTTGCTTACAGGCTCTCTCTCGTTAAGACGGGCATCCCCTTCGGCTCCCTGTACTGACAGGCGATGACTATGTATGGGCAGATCTGCCTGGGGCGCTCTGCAATGCTGCCATCAGACACTTCATACACATAATACTGGGGGGAGAAGGGAAACACAGATGAGAAAATGCACTGAGGAGTGAGCGAGGCACCTCGCCCAGCACTGTATTCCCCTGTGGCCCGCAAGTAAGTCCTCCTGTGAGACCTCATACCTGGCTCAGCTCGAAGGCCTGGAAGTGGCTGGTCTTCGAGGATACGTTGTTTCTGCTCACGTGACAGTCGTAGCCGGGAGATGGGCAGGTATAGCTGGTTGTGTAATTCTCACATACTGCCTTGACCTTTCCCTGTGCCAGCACGTTTGCAAAAAATAAAATAAAAATATATGTATATACTCACACCCCAAACTGTTGCCAGAGATGTATTTTAAAAGACCCCTGAATGCTCCTTTTTCCCAAAGACAAAAATCCCAACAAGCTCTCAACACAGCTCATTTTACACCCTGCCCCATCTCTGTTACGGTACGGTGCCAATGCGTCCTTAAAAACTGCCTGCACTATACAGTGACTTCTGCAAACCATTCCATGTAAAAAGAAAGACTTGTATTTTACCTTAATTAGCTTAAAAATGACAATATAGCCTGATTTCCCATGATACCAGGGTCTCGGATGAAGATAGTCTGCATACCTGGAAACGTAAACGCCTGTGAAAACAAAAGCAATGCACAATAACACCAATGGTCTGCCTAATAATGCTGATCACTGAAAAGCCTGTATCAAGGAAATTCCTTGTGCAAACAGGATTCTCTGCAGAGCCAGCACCTAGCAGCAAGCCACAGTGGCACTGGCACTTGCTGCCCTAAAAAGGGGTGAAAGTTTTTGGCTCTTTTCCTCTTTCTGACTGCTGGTGTGGCGCAGCGTTATCTGCTCCAGGTCAGCTCTAGGAAAGGAGTGAGCAAGCACCTTGGGTTTCTCCTGGGGAAAACAGGCCAAGGGCTTGTCTCTAAAAGGAAGATCGGTAAAGGACTTCTCTGGGGTCTAACTGGAAGTGGGGCAGGTCCTTTGCTCACTCTGGAGCTGCACAAAGGTAGTAGGAAGGTGTACATGTGGAGCACTCCCGCTGCAGGGACACTGGGGCAGGCCTGTGGCATGGCACGGACCCTCTAGCTCCCTTCCCCACCTCTTTATGGCCCCTCTGTGTCCCAGGCGCCAATGTAAACCTTTTACACGGGGACACGGCCCATTCTGAAGTATCCTCAGCCTGTCTCCATGCTCAGGGCATGTCACGTTTGGATTTATTGCGAGGGGTTTCTTCATTCATGCTCTATTTCTGCAGACAAGCTGGGTAGAGAAGTGCGCTGGGGAGAACAAACGGGGACCGGGCAGGGGGAGGGCTATGGAAAAGACGCAGCTGATTATACAGGCCATAATATTCATCTCAGTCCACTGGGTCTACGATACAGACACAGATGAATACGCAATTACAGATAAATAAGCAATTGCACTCCTACTTGGTTTTGCATTCATTGCTTTTTACTGTTAGGTAATTAGGTGTCTAGGCCTGCAAAGACTTCCTCGACAAGCACCAGGAGACGTTCTGCTCCTGGTAAAAGGATTTCTTTGAGTAACGTGTTCTGTGCTGTGTGTCTTCGCATGCTTGAGGCCTCAGCTCTTGGAGGAAGGAACAAGGAACAAGCACAGACTCTAAAGGGCTTTGGCACGTCACAATCTGCTCCGGTTATTAACAGGCTGCCGGCAAAAGCTCAGCAAAGGGATTCTGAGGACCAAACCAGTGGGGAGAGGTGCCGAAAAGCCACGTTGGTGACAAAGGTTGTTATTAACAAGGGAGAAAAAGCCTGAAATGGAAAGCAGAAGAGGTGACACGTTCCCTTGGGAAGGTCCCACCCCTATACTGATGAGCGGGCAGGAGGAAAACACTGTTGTTTGCTTGATCCAAACAAACGCAACTTCAAATATGAGAAATACAGGAGTCTCTGTGGATCCTTCCAGTTAATAACAAGGCAGTACCAGGCAATTTGTCTGGGATTTGGCTTCTGTTTTCAAAGGGGACAATGCGTCCAGCACAGTGACCAGGCCTCTTGGTCCTCTGAATGGAAATCTTACCTTTTGCTGGGTCACCAAGCGTGGAAATAGAACTGGTGTTTATGCGGAGGCCTGTCTGGCACACCTCTTTTGCCTTCAAAACAAGAGAGAGACTCTTTTACCATCTATTTTCAAAGATAAGGGACACAGTTACTGCAATCTGTAGCACAATGACTGGCAAAATCCTTTCAACAGGCAAACACTTGGGTGTTGCAAGTCAATCCCACACTATAAACACAACCGAATTCAATGCCCTCTGAAGCCAACAGAAAGAAAACTTGTGGTTTTGCACACTAAATACTGAGATCTACTTATCAAGTGCTGTTACAACAACCTCCACGGAAACAGAAGCATTTTCTACATTTGTGGGACAAGGAGAAAAGTTAGGAAAATCTGGAAAAATTCCAGCATCTCCAGAGACCATTGCAAGCACAAAGGTGGACTTTGCACTTTCTTTATCTGCATGGGGAACTCATAGAAAAACAAATGCAAAGGGCCTGGCATGAATGGAAAGGACACTTTCTACTCCATGCTCTACTGCATGGGCACAATTACTCTGCCTTGAGAGTGTCTCACTGGGTTTGATTTAATCCACTTCTAAGTGTACTAATCTAAGCATGTGAAGATCTTCAGGATATTGGCCAAAGAGTGACAATAGGAGAAGTTAGTATGAATTAATTATGGGTGAGAAAGCAAAACTGAGTCAGCCAAACGGCACTCAGTCCTTAAACTCAAGCCCATAAACAGCCTGGGGCGTTCATCTCACTCAATTTTTTGACACTTTAGCAAGTGTCAAGTCTAGATTAGCCAGCTAGACTCCTCCTCTGAATAGCAAGCAGAGACAGAGAGGTACCTTCGGAGAGGGATTTAGCCCAAGGATTTTGCATGCCTCTTGTTAGGTCCGACCAAATTGCCCTCTGGAGAGCTCCCTCTTTCCTAGGACTGTACAAGGAGCTGAGCCAGCTGGCACAGACTGGGCTAATTTCCAAATGGCTAAAATGAAGTGGGACAATTCCCACTCCTAAACGGATACTGAAAGCAGTTTACTTTGGTGTAGCCAATTCCAAATGAGCAGAACTAAACTACATTCAGGCCACTCTCATTCTGAACAAAACCATCACTCAGTGATTTAACACAGTATCATTAATTCATGTTAAAAGTGAATTCCCATTAGTCTCCCTGATTCTCCGATCATCTCTGGGCAAACTCGTCTCACAAAATCAAAAGCATCCTCGTGAAAAATGGGCAAGAGTAACTACTTCTCAATTACTGTGTCAGGTTCTCTCCCCGTGCAGGTGGCAAAACCCAGGGACCTTGTCCAAAATCACCTGATAAACTCCTGCCTTCTCTCACACAGCCTTTTTCCCCTTCTAAGTGTACCTGAAAGGTTTCACCTGCCTGTACTTGACTTGCAAATCCACTGGGAAAAAGGAAAGCTCCTTTTATCTCCCTGCAGAGGGCAAAAGAGACAGCCAGACCTCAAACAACAGTAATCAATGAGAGAGATCCAAAATAAGATCCATCACTGAAAACCCCCAGGAGTCACTTTCACAGCCTGCTCTGGACTATGCAGTAGTAATCGCACCGACAGCTGGCGTACAAAGAGCCAGGACGCTTCTGTCAACAGAGCTGCTGGGCTTCGGTAGGAAGGATCCCATGTGCGCTTGGCATCAACCTTGCTGAACTGAATAAACATTTCAGGTTACCTCTTCTTCGTTATCAAACAGGAGAAACGCAAAGGTCTCCTCCAGCTCCTCCTGGCTGTACCCAGCAGCTTCCTTGGCCTGGGCAAAAGCTTTGAGCTGCAGAAGACACAAGGACACTTTGTTCTAGTCTGTTCAAAGCAGAGCCAAGCGACCCAGCTGGTACGGGGAACACGTGGCATGTAGACAGCATGTCCTGCGTACCTCCAGCTGTGGTCACTACGGGGCAACTGGAGACTGATGCCAGACCAGCTCAGGTGCCCACACATCATTCCCTTCCCCATGCACACGTACATCCAGCCTCCCACCACAGGGATCTCAATATGTCCGTCTTTCTGTGTGTCCCCCACTGTTTCTGCCAGGTGAAGTCCATCTACACCATCCTGCCTGCTCATCGCTGGTCACGGCCCTGCAGGGAGACAAATCTCCTCTGTCTGTCCCTTGCAAGTGGTTCAGGCATCACCCCCTGCTCATGGGCTGCGTGTGAAGAACTCCTCTAACGACACCAAAGTGGTCTGCAGGCAGGAACCAGGGGTAATTAAATATCTGGGGTGTCTTGCACTTAACTCGATGGGTATTTAACATCTTGCCAACCTGAAAACACACATACAACATCTACGAATGCGCGTGTTTTACAGGTCACAGCACAGCCGCTTAATTCTTTCTGCCTTTGTCTCCAGCTGAACATGTTTAATGTCCCCCAAGGGATGTGAAGCACATCCAGCCCTGCCCAATGCTGCAGCACAGGGGTGAACGAGGCTGCGCTCGCCCCATGGAAGCCCAGCCTTATTCCATATTCCCCCTCTCACCACATACGGTGGGGCTCCTGGGGAGCTCATTTCACTGAGCAGCACATGGGACGGTCAAGCATCATGTTCAGTGGCCAGCTGAGGCCATCAGAAGACAAACTGTCTCCAGGTGTCTGCAGAAGACGGGATGCTTGGAGGCACCTCTCTCCTCTCTCCACTGATGATGGGCAAGCCTAGACCATTCGATCAGAGGGCACAGCGCTACCACGCCGCTACACCTCAGAGGGTTTGGCTTCAGCCAAACCATGCATTACTCCAGTTTCTTTTGTTCACTGATTTAACTTGAAGCAGAGCCTGTTTGCAGTGCAGACAGGGAGGATGTCATATGAGAAAGCAGAGAGCTGTGTTTGTTTTTTGGGGCTTTAATAAAAGAAGTTAAATTGTGGAAGGATGCGATTTTTAAAATGGGGTTGAAAGATAAGAAAACAATAGTCTCGTCACTGCCTTTTCAGGTTCAATGGCTTATAAAGGTGTTCACTCCTAATGTGACCTTAAAAGTCACAGACAAATCAACATACAACTTGTTTCATGCTTTCCCAGTCTTCTGTTCCACAATATAATCTAAAAAATGGTATTTTCTTATCCAGCTCTGCAATGACTATTCCAGATCTAAGCAGCCAAGATTTCTAAGCTCTACTTAATTCATGACAACAAGCAGACTTGTTGAGGCCTCTCCGGTCCTGGAGGAGACTGCTTGTCTTCCACACCAATGACAATGGGACTGTAGGGAAGGAGGAGTTTTAAAGTGGCTCCACACATGCCCCACCCAGCTGGAGAAAGGGAAACTTGGGGTCAAAACTGGTGCCTGGACAGGGGTGAGGGGAGGCAGAGAAACACCATGCGACGGAAACCTGCCTTGCTGTGCATCAGCAGAGCTCAAGCTTGACACCAAATACCATTAGAGCTCCCCTGCTAGATAGCCAACCAGCATTTCAACCTGCCCCTGAAGACCTGCGCCACCCCAGCAGCATCTGCTGCTGAATTTCGGCAACCTTGGCTGCATTGACGTTTTGCTCCTAATCACATCAGGAAAGAAGAAAAGCAAGAAAGCAAAGCAAAGGCTCTCCCCATTCAGGAACTGCAAGTAGAGCCCCAACGAGATAAGCAGAGCAGCCACACCCTGCAAAGAAAAGACACAAATATCTGCCAATAAAAGAGCATTAAGAGACTCCAACAGCCCCACACTGGGACCCTACGCCTCTCCTGGGCTTCCAGCAAGGCCCCGCGCTCCCACAGGCCTCACCTCGTTTAGAAAAACATCGTTTTCCACTAGAATTGCTTGGCTGTATTGAAAACCGTCCCGAGATGTACCGTCCAAGTAGGAGCTCTGCAGCACTGAAACCGCTGTCTGCAAAAGGGAACTTGACTCTTCTGACTTCAGATGCAAACCTGGAGGAGGAAAGCAATAAGCAGGTGCAAATATTAACTCTGAGCATCCCCGCATCGGCACAGGGCCTCCGCGGAGCCGGGGGGCAGCTGAGCGTGACTCACTGCACACGGGCCTCATCTCTAGCCATTGCTTTCTCTCCACTCTCTGTAACAAGACAGAAAAGCCCTATCTACGTCCTAGCCAGGTGCTCTCCAAGTCCTCTGGACAGCCTTGGAGCTCTTCCTATGCAAAAGGAGAAAAGGAAATTCTTAACGACCACTAAAAGCAAGACCTGGTTGTAAATTAGCTTTGTGCTTCCTCAGCAGGCCAGAGTTCTCTCTGGTCTCTCTGGCTAAAAAGTGACTCAGATTTGTTGCACCCTCTTGTAGGGTGTGAGAGCTGGTGTCTGCACACAGGAAAAATCCCGGTGCGTGGTCAGGTGTTATCTGCTTGATTATAAAGATCCTCAGGTCTTGCATGAACGTGGCGCCTTCGATGCAAGCCTTCCTTCAAACTCTCAAGCAGTCGTGACCGGCTGCTCCAAGGAGGCACAAAGTACCGACAGGAGGGACGAGCGCATGCTGCTGCTCCGTGCTCAGCGTCCCCGGCACCTACATCGCTGCAGTATGGGCAGACCTTTCCCAAAGACCACACTCTGCCCACGCATCTCCTAAGGAAACCATCCCCACGAGACGCTACCCAATAAGAAGAGATGACAAAGCACTTTGCAAACTACAAACAGGACCAGAAACAAAAGAGAACTCTGCAGTATCTGTGGTTTTACAGGTGCTAAAATCCAAGCATTAAAAAAAGCAGCCACTTAAAAACACAGGAAATCCTAGGCTTGGCCTCTCTCACCGGTTTTAAAACCTTTATTACTGGTGATAACTCATGAGATTTCAAACCTCAAGCAGGGTTTGCAGCACAGACATGTTTAAAAGGGTTACTTTGTATGGCCTTGTGAACTTAAAACAACAATCTAGAAGGAAAGAACTGTGGAACCTCCAAATCCCACCAGAAAAACAGGTTTTGCGCTCTGGTAGCTCTCCAAGGAAAACCTCACAGAGATTTTTGAAGAGAAATAGTTAAGTTCTCATTATTACCTCTGCGGCAGAAAGGCCCACCTTCCTTTGGCGAGGAGTAAGGCAGCGTCAGATGTTGCCCTGCAACCTCTCTGGGGTTTTGACTCCTATTTTTAAGGCTAAGTGTTTATCTGGGTTTTTTTTCCTATTCCTCCCCTCAATTAAAAAGACTCCCCATGCCACAAATCTTATTGTTCCTCTCAAACTACCTGAGGCCAAAAAAGGCTCTGATATAAAAACAGAGGAAAAAAGCAGTTTCAATTGTGTGCATTTAATGCGTTTAGCTACACCACTAAAACCCGATGCAGCGAGCCTGTACTACAGGAATTAACAGGAGAAGGGAGACAGTGTCTGTTTTGCTCTGCCGAGCAACAGACAAATCTGGACAAGGCAAAAAGGCAGGGGGAGACAGTATAAGAGCAGATCTAAAAACGGTTCTCGGAAAAGCAGTTAAAGGACAGACAGGAATGGGAACTGGAAGCATGGAAAAGAAAATCTTCAAAAGGGCTTTTGCCTCTCTTAACCTCGCTCTGGGGAATGTATGTCTTTTATGCCTTCTCGTATTCACTTTCTAAACGTCCCGCTTCCCGGTGACGCCTCTGTGATCATTAAGGCAGGAGCTGTACAAAAGCAGATCAAAACAGCTTGGCTCTCAAGAGCAGAAAAATGAAAAATAAAACAAAGAGCTCTTCCCAATATATGTCAGTACTCTTAGTGTTTCCTCTCCCCAGGAGAGGGACCTTTCTGCTCCTGGTCTGCTCCTGGTCCAGGGTCAATTCCTGCTTCTTGCAAGCAGTGAAGCCAGTTGGGACGACGCCACCACAGGAGCACCCCTGGGGCACAGGCATTCCCTGTCTACTGAAAAATAACTCACCCAGTATGACTAATCCTTCTCATATTTGCCCTTTTCCCAGCCATATCGCATTGGTTGCTCAGCATCATCTAGGAGTGACTAAACGCTAGCTAATTCCAAATATCTCCAGATGACACGGCACCGATTTTTAGTGGAGATTCTTGTCAGTATGTCCCAAAAGCACAGGATGGCAACTGGCGCTACCTAATCTCACAGCGACTGCTCTAAATCATCTCATTTTCCAAGTACAGTATTCTGCTCTTCCTACTAACAATGCCTTGCAAGTGAGTCCTCGACAAATTTGAGGTCTTAGAGCATGGGAAAGGCCATGTCTAAACGTGTGAGCTGGGAGTCAGCTGTGTGTTTCCACACGTATATGTGAGGCACTGAGTTCATAAAGAAAGATTATAGGGTTAAAAGTCCCAAAGGGATTAAAACGCGTATTGAGGGTGTGGTGTGCTAAAGCCAGCAAAAGCATTAGGTGTTTAGCATCTTTTAGGGTTAAAAACCTGAAAAAAAGCCTGGGAAGCTTTTGGAAATGCATCACAAACAGTAGTTTTGCAGCTGATAACTCAAACTTTTGTTCCTTGGGTTCAGTGTAAAAATGACAGAAAGTCTAAAAGGAAAAAAAAGTTTCCATAGTAATACATAAATACATGAGATGAAACAATCACAGAGCGTGCCACCAAGTCCGGCAGCTCGCTGCAACCCTCGTCTCCTCTTTCAGATGTAAGAGGCTCCTTCAGTCCTGTCAGCACCCTAAGGAAGAGCCTGCACTCACAGAAACACAGACAAAATCCAGACATCTTCACTTTGCGCATCCCCGAGGGAGCATGAGGCTGTTGCAGGCTCTGGGCAGGCTCCAAGGAGGCGAAAGTGAAAGTGCCTGAAACAGAAGCAAAAGCGAAAGTGGCTGTTTCCCTCTGAGCAGCCTGGACATGCCACCACCACCACCCCCGCGCTGTGAGCTAGCAGAGCTGGCAGGTGGTGCGGCCAAGGGCTGGAGCAGACCTCAAGGAACCGGCACGGCCCACGGAACGGGCGTTATCCATGCTCCAAAACCCTCCAGGAGGGAGTGTGCAGCACATCCAGGCAATTTCCTTCTCTGAGAGCAAGGGAGAAAAACAGTCATCTTCGCAGCTCTTAATACCAGTCTGCAATGAAGGTCAATCTCTGCGGCTGCGCAGGAGCCGTCCTCTCTCCGAGAGCATTTCTTGGACAAAGCCAGTTCTTCAACCTTTCCTCCCCGATCACGCCAGCAAACGTCTCAACGTGTTCCGTTCTGCAGAGCATTTGGCCAAAGACAGCCTGAGTGGACGTGCTTTAAGAGCGGACACATGGCCCGTGTGCTCCCAGCAGCCACCCGCTCCCCATTTTGGTTCAGGGTTCCTGCCGGTGCTGGATGTAAATCATCAGGACCAGCCTAGGCCATGCAACACGGGTGTCTCAAAAAGACGATCCTCCTTTGGCTCATCCATCTTCACACAACGTCCGGGTTGGCCCCACCAGGCAGCGTCTTCCAAAGCCAACCCAGGAGGACAACAAATGGCTTTTGAACCACTTACTAGTACAGACTTGTAGAGCTAATAAGATTTCTTTTTCCTTCTATTTTTTTTCATCTTAAAATTTTACTAGCACTTGGTGCAGACACTTGAACGCCGTCAATTCCCCCAAAGTTTGCAACTACCCTGGTTAAGGCAGACCGAACGCAGCCACGCTGCTCACCTCCTGGACTTTCACCCTGTCCTTGGTGCAGCTGCTCCTGACTGGTCTCTTCCCACAGCCCTTCTCTATCTTCTCTCTCTTTGACCAGGAGTTCCCCAATTTTTCTGGCTTGGTCCCATCATTGGTATGAGCTGTAACAGCAGGTATCACTGGCACTGCCAGCTCCGGCACCACATGCCACTTTGTACCACTAATAGTTTGTGTACTGCAAAGTGGGATACCTTAAGACCATCCTCCCATTAGAAGTCTGTACCACTGTTTGGCTCTGCCGAGGTCTACTTTTTCGCTCTTCTTTATAATCTCCCACCTTGATTTTGCTGCTCTCACTCTTTAGTAAATCAACTTCACTTTTTAATCACCTCAAGCATGCTGTAATTATGACAATTATATGAACCATCTCATTTAACTTTGCATTATAAAACGCATGGTATCACATGCTTGATCAGATATTTAGCTGCGAACCTCTTTTAGGTACATTCAGCACAGTCCAACTTTTATGATGAGTCTCCTCATTAGTGCTGAAGCACTTTCCCCTACAAGTCACTTTACTCTTTCTATTTAAGCTAAGATATGCACTAAGGTTAGCAAACACACCATTCCCACAAATTTCTAGGATCAGGAATGTGTTATGCCTGCAAAGTGGTCAACGCCTACAAGATGTTGACTATGGAAGTTGCCTCACAGAATCACAGAATGGCCAAGGTTGGAAGGGACCTCTGGAGATCATCTAGTCCAACCCCCCTGGCTCAAGCAGGCTCACCTAGATCACATTACCCAAGATCGCGTCCAGGCAGGTTTTGAGTATCTCCAGGGATGGAGACTCCACAACCTCTCTGGGCAACCTGTTCCACTACTCAGTCACCCTCACAGTCAAAAAGTTTTTCCTCAGGTTCAGATGGAACTGCCTGCGTTGCAGTTTGTGCCCGTTGCCTCTTGTCTTGTCGCTGGGCACCACGAAGAAGAGACTGGCCTCATCCTCTTGACACCCCCCCTTCAGATACTTATACACGTTGATGAGATCCCCTCTCAGTCTTCTCTTCTCCAGGCTGAACAGGCCCAGCTCTCGCAGTCTTTCTTCACAGGAGAGATGCTCCAGTCCCCTCATCATCTTGGTAGCCCTCCGCTGGACTCTCTCCAGTAGTACCATGTCTCTCTTGTGCTGGGGAGCCCAGAATTGGGCACAGGACTCCAGGTGAGGCCTCCCCAGGGCTGAGGAGAGGGGCAGGATCACCTCCCTCCACCTGCGGGCAACACTCTGCCTAATGCACCCCAGGAGACCATTGGCCCTCCTGACCACAAAGGCACGTTGCTGGCTCATGGTCAACTTGTTGTCCACCAGGACTCCCAGGTCCTTCTCCGCAGAGCTGCT